TTCTACCCCTTCTATTTGCCAGGAATTGGTTGGTCCCGATGCCATGGTCTTAGTTTTTTTAATGTTGAGGTTCAAGCCAGCTTTTGCACTCTCCTCTTTCACCCTCATCAAGAGGCTCTTTAGTTCTTCTTCACTTTCTGCCATTAGGGTGGTATCGTCCGCATATCTGAGGTTGTTGATGATTCTCCCTGCAATCTTAATTCCGGCTTGTGATTCTTCCAGCCTGGCGGTTGACAAATATATATGCAAAAATATATTGCCTGGAGACTATAAATATTTAAAATAAACAAAGAAGCTTTACTGTTCAGTTAATATGTCATTTTCATCACAATACTAAAGGTTTTATTTTGCAATGCCCCACCCCATTCATGGACTTTTTCTGGGGGGAAGGGCACAGGACCAGCACTGATGCCATCATAATCTCCTGGCATTCTTCTGTACTCTGTATTTTCTTTATTCTGTATTCTGTATTTTCCTTCCATGGCCTCCAACTATTTTCTTATCAGAAAAAAAATTAAATAGGAAATGGAATTGTGAATAGAAAATATCAATCTGCACATATCCTGTCATTCTCAAACACTGTATTATTCTGGTAATGGGGGAAAAGACACCAGTCAGTTGTCAGTTTTTGCTGCTGACAGTCTCTCAGGGCTTTTTATTCTCTTTTCTTAGGTGACTAAATTCTCATTCAGGGGTGCATATACAGCCATTATATACCCTTACAGCTCTGGGCAGCTTACAATATGTTACAGCATCCATATAAACAATTATTAAAGGGTAAGATAAATAATAATACAGAACCAACAATATTTTTTTTAAGTAAAAGCCTGGATCACTGTATTATAAGCCTGCTCCTAAATTCTTGTAAGGATAGGGCTTGCATCAATGCCAGCAGTACCTTGTTCACCATCGATGATCCTTGCAGCAATTCAAACCACCCAGAGTCGTCTTAATGAGATGGGCTGTGACAAATTTGACATATAAATAAATAAATAAATTCAGCCTTGCAGTTACCAGCATATGAATTCCAGATTTCTTTCCTTTAGGTCAGGATAAAGTTGATAAAAGGATTTCCTTGCTACTGATGTAATGTGGCTGTCCAGCGTGTGGCTGGATCCAAGATTCCCAGGCTGCAACCCTGCTCCTTAAAAAAAAGCACAACTCCACCTAGAACAGACCTATCTCCCAAGCCCCAAGAATCAATTAACGCACCATCTTGTCCCCGTGGAGTTTCAGCTTATTCTCCCACATCACGGCTTTTATGGTCTGGAGGCATTCCGAGGCCCTGAAGACACCCAACCTTGAACTCATAGGAAAGAAGAAACATAGCTGAGAAACATCAGCATATCAGTAACATCTAGCTCCTGATCTTTTAGAGCTCCTTTCTAGTCACTGCATATTTATAATATTGAAAAAAATATAGAAGTTTGCAGGATCCTTCAAGATAGTTCCCAGAAGGTCAAGCAGAGGTTTCCCAATATCCAAAGCATTGAATAGCACCCAATGAGTAGTTGAGTTGCCATTACAAAACAATACCTCCAACTGCCAACTCCTTCAAGTGCTCCAACAGGATACCATGATCCACAATTTCCAAAACTGCTGTAAGTGTTCTAGGAATATAAACAGAGTTACAACCCTCCATCTCTCTCCAGTGTAAGTTACCCATCAGGATTGCCAGGGCTGTTTTTCTGCTAAATTCAGATCTGAAGCAGATCAAGATAATCCATTTAATCCAAGAGTTCAGTTTTCTAATGCCACTCTTTTCATCCTGGTATCTCTGTTGATAACACACTAGGCTTGGAGCCCTGCTGGGAATGCAAGAGCCAGTTCTCTCCTTTCTATGTACAATCACATGATAAAATTGTCCCACATGGCAATTAGGTTTTTCAAAAACTTCCATTGGTGTCAAAGGGGAGAATACGGTAAATTGATTGCTCCTGCAGAAAATTCCTGCTCTGTTGCCTTTCACTCTGCCTCATCTGATGCAAAGACTTGGAAGTGGACCCTCAAAGAAAATCCTAGGCCAAGGTTGATAGGTGGGAGGATGTTGTTTCAGAAGAGCCTTCAGAATTCAGTTCTTTCATGCATTTTTTGAATTGCAAATGGTTTTGATGTTTTTTTCAATAGGAAGCACTATATAAATATTTTAAATAAACAAAATATAATGCATGTATCTATTGAGTGTTGTGTTAAATGCCATGCTTATTCAAAAGGAAGCCAACTCTGAATTTAAGACGATCGTCCAGAAAAAGCAAAATAGAAGTAAATATAATAAACACAGTAATTCTGTGCTTCCCTCCTTTGTCAATTAGTAATTTTAATAGCCTCATACATTAATACACAACACGTACATATATACATACACATTCCAAACCTTATACCGTTTGCTAAGTATAACCCTATTCAAGTCTTAATTAAATAAATAAGGTGAGTTCCTATACTGTATGCATGAAACATTTTAAGACTCATGTTATATTTCAGGTTGTTTTCTCTCTTTCAAAAGGTAAGCCTGATATTTCTCTGCTGGATGCCCCAGAACGTTCCTGCTAAATCAGGAGCTCAGCTGTTAATGGTTCTACGGTGTCTCCGGCCCCTTCGTATTTTCAAACTGGTGCCTCAGATGAGAAAAGTTGTTCGGGAGCTCTTTAGTGGCTTCAAAGAAATCTTTTTAGTGAGTACTATTTATGGTTTCTCTTTCCAAACATCTCTTTTTAGAAGAGAACCCATCAGAACATAACATATTTCATAATAGCTCCTCCAAATGAGTTTGCATTGCAAAGGGTTAAATCCAGTTTGTTCTTGCCTCTGAACCCATCTAGTCATAAGCTCTGATCATATCCATAGACCAGGAGAAATATGCATCAATTGGATCTAGTGTTGAGCACAACATTTATTTAGATATGTATTTAAAGGAGGCAGTCTATTTCTTTAAGAATGCAGTATTACCACTGTGGAGGTATTACATTTTCTTCAAAAAATAATGTGTGATATTTTGGACTGGGGAAAATGTCTTATTTCTGCAAGAGTGCATTATATTTTCTCATGTTTACACAAAGAAATAAACTGCTGTGGTGCTATATTCCATGTCTTCCAAAGTTCTGAGTACCAAATTTTAGCAAGTGTTAAAAGTAGACTTTGCACTCTACTATGCTTGGGTGACATGATTACATATAAGCATATGGGTTGCTTGTAAAGCATTATAGAGAAACCTGATCGCTATCGCTGGCAGGGTACATAGGCTAATCCACTAGGACATTTGCGGTTGTGGGCATGCTTGAAGAGAAGAGCATATGAATGCATGAAATATATATTTGAACAGGATGGGGAATAAATTTGAATACAATAAGCTTGTTTCCTAATGTATATGAAACGGGAGCTAAGGAAAACATGAATAGGAGAAACCACTTACCTGCCATCCTCCTGAAAACACTGTTATAGTTATCAGTCCTCCTTCCTTGCAGTTCTGTAATGAAAGCCATTGATTATTCTTATAGGAAATATAAGAGGAACATACAGGTGCACTGGAGAAGGTTTGACTACTTTTCATGTTATTTTTTCAGGTTTCAATCCTTTTATTGACTTTAATGCTTGTTTTCGCAAGCTTTGGAGTTCAGCTTTTTGCTGGGAAACTGGCTAAGTGCAATGATCCTCATATAACAGCAAGAGTAAGAGCAAGTTTTTATATGCTTTGATAAATTCTTTTTCTTCTTTTTCACATAGGCAACGTTTCCATTGGCTGATGAGGCTTAATTTATGGTCCAGTAATTGAGGCATTATGTAGGAACACTAGAAAAGGCATAGAAGTGGAAGTATTTTCTACTGAATCTAGTCACTGCCCTCTGTATCATTCATTTAAAATATTTCTGGACTGCCTTCTAGAGTCATGCCCTCTCACAATGGTTTCCACCATATAGGCTTATATAAGTATAAACATGTATATATCAATACAAGTTTAAAATAATAAATTATCGCCAAAAATGGTAAATACAAGCAAAAATCATCTATGTAACTGATGAGGTTCAGTATTTAGCTCAGCAAGAAGAGTAAAATCCAATACCTATGCCTTTCCCATCATGGAAGAATTCAAGCATTGAGCAGGAACAGTTAAAAGAGTTCCAGAGCCCAGATTTATTCCTCCACCTCTCCAAGCAGGTGATTGGTGCTGTCAGTGTGATGATACTCACAATACATGTGTGGTCTCAGTCAAGGAAAATATTGTTGAAAGTCAGGGAAAGAATTGAAACATAACTCTGTTTGCAATATGATTTTGTGATATATTCAAATAAAGTATTTTTTATTTCTATACAAAATGTTATATTTCTGATAGGAAGACTGTCATGGTATATTCCGAATAAATGTAAGTGTTTCCAAAAATCTAAATTTGAAGCTAAGACCTGATGAGAAAAAGCCTGGATTTTGGGTGCCTCGAGTTTGGTAAGTAATGTATTTTGGCCTTTTGCTTTACATGGAAGATTTAGTTAGTAATCTGGAATCTACTGTATGTTTAATCTGGAAATAGAGTAAATGCAACTTCAAGTTTTGTACATTCCTTACAAATTGGAAAAAGCCAACTAGAATAATTCTGGCATGACAAATACTATACAATAATATACCAAACTAATGCAGTTTACTATTTAGGTAGGGAACCAATATACTTCCTGCTTTTTTATGACAAAACATTGCATAGATAAGATAAATATTTAGAAAACTGAAAATACAGATTTATTGATACTTAGAGTTGATAAACAGAATTGCTCCAGTAGATTAGTCCAATGGAATGATAATTTCAAATCCCCAATTTTTAAATTCACCAGCCATACGTAGAATGAGCCCCTTGTCCGAATGAGAGTACACCTAGAGATTATTATTGTAGGGTAAATAACAAAAGGGAAATGGACTAGTCACACTGCTTAATTCTCTTGAGTTGCCATGTGTCAGTTTCTTCCCATCACACATTACTCCCAAAAAACTACTCTTTTTCAGAATTAAAGAGTACAACAGATTCAATGGCATGGAGGTAATTTCAGGAGAGGCTAGAACAAGAGATTCACTTGCCTCAGGGAATAACAGGTTACCAAGCTGGCAATGTTTTGTTTTCAGGATATATTGTTGGCAACAGCATTTATTTTACTCCTCGTTTCTGTCTTGTATTGCAGGGCTAATCCTCGAAACTTTAACTTTGACAATGTTGGTAATGCAATGTTGGCATTATTTGAAGTCTTATCATTAAAGGGGTGGGTAGAAGTCAGAGATGTTATCATTCATCGTGTAGGTCCAGTAAGTATATTCCTCAAATTTGTCAGATTTGTCAGATATTCAATTCCTACTTGAACTTCTATAGGTGAATGTGATATTGATAAAATTTTATGTTGCAGATTCACGGCATCTATATTCATGTTTTTGTATTTCTGGGCTGCATGATTGGACTGACCCTTTTTGTTGGAGTTGTCATTGCTAATTTCAATGAAAATAAGGTAACAATGCAGGGTTTTTTTTTAAATGTAATCATGTTTATATAGTGTTACTTTCACATGGTATCAGATAATATTGCTGATATAACATAAGGTTGTGGTTGTGCTAAACACCAGGAATATTTTTTTATTATGAAATTAGGCTGTCAACCAGTTACACTCTTTCTTGGTGAGATTTGATTGACAATCCTAAAGTGTGATCAGTATGCTTAGTTCGAACAAAATGCAACAGTAAGATACTAGCTGAAGACAATCAACCCCTAAGGCCCACACTATTTTTGCATCACATGTAGTGTACAGTACACCTAAGTATTTCCAGGACTAATTCATAGTAATGGAGTTAACTATAACATTCCTGAACAGGAAGGAGTCTTGTTGTAAGCATTTTTTCTCATATGCCTCTGGTTGTTCCTATCAGGATAGGCAACCTGGATTTGACAAAATTAACAAATTTTCACTTACTGAATGTCTTAATAAAAAAAGTGGACAAAAGAAAAAATCCTGGAATTAGAAAACAATCCCTAAAGCAGAAGTAAAACAGAACACCCTTCTCTAGTGAAAGAATCCCTAATGGTTATTCATTCCAATGAATATGATATGAAATAAGCAAATAAATTTTGGTGGGTAATGGTTCCTATTCTTTTAGGGGACAGCTCTGCTGACAGTTGATCAGAGGCGATGGGAAGATCTGAAGAGCAGATTAAAGATAGCACAACCTCTTCACCTCCCACCTCGCCCAGGTATTTAGACCTTTAAAATTCAGATTCAAGTGATAATGAAACCACTAACAGGTAATGCATACTGATCAATGATCGAGTCATTGATTATGTGCCATCAAGTTGGTGTTCACTCTTAGCAACCACACAGATAGACCTTCAGGATGATCACCTCCAAAATGGCCCTTCAGGTTTTCCAGCAGTGCACCCATCACCATTATAATTGAGTCCATCCATCTTGCTACTGACTATCCTATTCTCTTTCCTTCCACCTTTCCCACTGTTATAGACTTCTCAGGGGAGTTGGTTCTTCACATAATGTGTCCAAATATATTAATTTGAGCCTGGCCATTTTTGTCTTGAGTGAGAACTCTAGATTGATTTGTTCTATGATCCATTTGTTTCTTTTCTTGACTATCCAACACTCATCTTCTTCCATTCGAGCTTCCTTCAATGTATATTCAGCATATAGACTGAATAAATAAGAAGAGAGTATACAACCTTGTCTCACTCCTTTATCATCCTGGAGCCAGTCTGTTTTGCCATTTTCTGTCTGGACTGTGTATAGGTTTCTCATGAGGACAGGATATTCTGAAATTCCTATTTTCCTAAGGACATTCCACAGCTTGACATGGCCAACACAATCAAATGCTTTCTATGATCAATGAAGCACATATCATTCTTTTTGGTATTCTTTGGCTTTTTCAATTATCTAGTATGCATCAGAAATAATGTCTCAACCTTTTCTAAAGCTAGCTTGAACTTCTGATATCTCCCTTTCCATGTAAGGCTCGAATCTGTGTTGATGCTCCTAAGCATTACTTGGCTAACATGTGAAAGTAAGGATACTATACTGTGTTGACTAACATGTGCCCACAACTAACAGTTGCACTGAGAAAAGAAAAACTTAAAAGTAAAAAAGGGTCCATTGCAGACTGTGCTGTAAATAAACTTTACTAGACATTTTACTCTTATTTTGTTTTTGGTTTTTTCCAGATAATGATGGATTTCGAGCTAAAATGTATGACATAACACAGCACCCATTTTTCAAGAGAACCATTGCAGTTCTTGTACTCGCCCAGTCTGTGCTGTTATCTGTTAAGGTATAGTTCTGTGCTTTGTTCACCACTTACAAACTAGCAGAATGCATAAACAGGAGAAAACCACTGTGTCTATAGAACCAGCATAGTAACAGCTTGTGGTAGAATTTTAAACAGAAAAGAAAATGAGAGTTTTTTTCATAAACTGTTTTTTTTTTCTTTTGCATAAGTGGGATGATCAAGACCCAGTAACTGGTCCATTAGCTGCAATGTCGGTGGTCTTCACCTTCATATTTGTTCTAGAGGTAATATATTTCAATATTTCTATAAATAAGGACAGATCAGATATGCATTGTGTCACATATTTATACATTACAGTATCAGAAGATAACATAGATATTATTTATTTATTGCATTTATAGGCCACCTGACTCCATCATGACTCTGGGTGGTATACAATATAAATTTAAAGCAATGCAATGCAAGCAGTATAAAAAAGTAGATGTCTGGAAAAATTAACTGATTCTAGAAAGCCAGTTATCTTTATAAAGAATCTAACCTTACTCTATTCCATGGCCAGAGGAAAAGCCAGGTTTTGAGGGTTCATGTAAATAAGGTAAGATTGGGGGTTATATGATTCCAGAGAATAGACACTGCAATAGGGAAGGCCACTTCCTTAATCCCATCATATGGCACTGTTTAATTGGTGGGATCCAGAGCATGTCCACTGTCCCAGATCGCATAGGAGGGAAGAGAAACAGTCCCAGATAATCAGCCCTATGCCATGAAAGGTTTTATAAGTGATAATTAGCACCTTGAATTTATCTGGAAGCCTACTGGTTAACCAGTGCCTACTGGTAACAAGTGCACTTACTCAGCAGAGGTATTATGTTATATGGACATATCATGGCATGCCCATAATTGCCTGTGATTCTGCATTCTGGGCCAGCTGCAGCTTCCAAATAGTCTTCAAGGGCAGTCCCATGTAGAGTGCATTGTAGTGGTCCAGATAGGTGCCTCCTGATCCAGGTATTGGTGCAATTGGCACACTAGTTGAATTTGTATGAATGTAGTCCTGTCCACAGTTGCCCCCTGCTCCTCAAGCAAGAGCTGTGAGTCCAAGTAGTCTTCAAATTGCACACCAATTCTGAAAGAAGTACAACCCATTCAGAAGTAAAGATGGAATATCTTTTGAGATGGGTGGTCCAAATACCCACAGCCATTCAGGCTTGTCAAGGTTTTGCTTAAGCTGTTTCTCTCTATCCAGATCCAAACAACTGTCAGACACTGAGACAAGACCTTGACAGAATCACCTGGTCAGCCAAGATTTACAACAGGGTATCATCAATGATCCATAATCCCAAACTGACAGATTACCTCACCCAGTAGCCTCATGTGAATGTTAAGCAGGAAGAGTGAGATTGTTAAGCCCCAAGGCACACCATATGTTGGGGATCTCTAACTTGATCTCCCCTTCACCTGCCACCACTTACTGGACTTGACCACAGAGAAAGGAGAACCACCACCTTAACACCATGTCTTCCACTCCTAATCCCTGTGGGTGGTCCAGAAGGATACCATTGACCATGGTATCAAAAGTCACTGAGAAATCAAGGAGGTGCACTGCTCCCATCCCAGCTCCACTACAGGTCATCTGCAAGCATCACCAACACCATCTCAGTACTATGTCCTGGTCTGTCTGAAAGGTGTTCAGATTAGCCATATCCTTCAGGACTCTCTGAAGCTGTAACCATTCTGCTGTTATGTAATACACAATCCAGGAAAAAAGGAGATGCTTTTCCAAGCACGTGAAGGCTCTGTTTTTGGACTCGAATGAAGGATTTTAGAATTAATTATTATTAGTACCCTATTCATAAAGTTCATCTAGAATATCTACATATTTGCTACCAAGCTTATTTGCTGGTGGGGCAACAGTTGAGAGGGAACATCTTGCCTAAGACTATCATTTGAGTACATATCAGAGACAAAATGTGAATTGGAAACTTCTGCTTTGCAGCTCCATCTCATGGAATTCTCTCAGCAAGTGGTTGCACTTTGTCAGCCTTGTCTGGGATTAGAAGCTAAGCAGAGTTGGGCCTGCTTAGTGCATGGATGGAATACTAGGGCTGTAAACTAGGAACTCAAAAAAAAAAATCCTTTAAAACCACTTTGGTTTTGTTGCCAAGAAAACTATCTGCGTGTGTCCATGAAATCACCAGCTGACAAGGTTGTCTTGCAGAAGAGTTTCCTTTAAACATGGAATCAGACTCAAACTAGAAATAACATGGGAATTCCATGCTTGAAGCGGCCAGGGTCTCGTTTTCTTTTTGTAAAAAAAACATAGAGGTGATTCAGATCAGGGCTAGAGCTGGGCTCATTTGCAAAGTGGTATTAACAAGGCAGCAAAACCCTTTTAACCCTGGCTAACAGAGCTTTAAAGAAAATTATTTGGACTGGAATTACAGTCAAATATCAAAAGACATTAGATTTGTCAAATATGGGGATCTCATCACAGCTCCTGTGTCACCTTTGGTTAGTGTTAATGGATGGAAACAAACACACTGCAGGGTTAAAATAATTAAAATTGTAATGAGCAGCAAAAGGAGAAAAGCACATTGCCTTTGTCCATTTCTTGTTGTATTGTTCTTGGAAAAAAAGTGATGGTGATTAGGTATAAACCACATTTGGTTTATCCTTAGAAGATGACTGATCAAACATTAAAATAGGATTCTTTTTCTGCATTACTTATTGTAATCTGATATACATTTTCTTGCATATCAGTTTTGTTTTTGCTCATATTTATTTGTAATCCTGTAGTCAAATTGATTTTCGGTAATTATCCATTTGAATATTATTGAAACACATCATAACTTTGTATAATCATAAATGATTCCTCAAAGAGAAGCTATTACGTATACATTTATTTTTGCAAGGTTACCATGAAAATTATTGCCATGTCACCTGCTGGATTTTGGCAGAGCAGAAGAAATCGCTATGATCTCTTGGTGACATCATTAGGTGTCATATGGGTGATACTCCACTTTGCCATAACTGTAAGTTTCAAGAACCACATTGCCTTTGCAAAGAATGTAGGGTATTTTTCCTCTTTTTGCAAATCTGCAAAATATACAATTAATTGAGGCTTGATCTTGCCTTGTTATGGATATTCCAGAAAAGACAGGGTTTTTTGTAATTACAATTAATATTATAATTGAGTTGATTTAGGCAGCCATAAATGGATTAAACTAGAATCGGTGGGATTCAGTTTTCAAAGAAGTAAACACAGTTCACTAAATATTTGCATTGGGCCTAGTTCTTACTGTGATAGCACATTTATTTATGAAATATACTTTGTCAGACATGAAATGGGATGTTTCATGACTGAATATTTCTTCATGCTAAATATTCCTGTATACTAACATTTTTTCCTAATAGTAAAGTCAATGATGTAGAGAAGGTTGCTAGTCCTATATGTATTTTGTGTTAGCAATTTTGAAGAAAAAAAATAAATTTGATGGAGTCTATTCGTATAAAGACTGGTTACATGATTTTAAAAATAGTGTTGAGAAATTCATGGAAGATAAATCTATGACTTTAGTAATAGTACCATTATATTTTGTATTATGTCAACTCAGTGTTGAATACTTTGTCCAGTTCTACTTAGTGGCATCAAAGATGCAGAGAAATTAGAACAAGTGCAGAGAAGACCAACAAGGATGATAAGCAGACTGAAAATTAAGATTAAAAATTAAAATCCTGTTCAAGAAAGGATGACTAAGAGGAGTATATAATAGAACTTTTCAAGTATCTGAAGAGTTATCCATCAGAAGGCCAAGACCTGTTTTTCTATCATCCCATAGAATAATTGTCCTAAATTACAGGAAAACAAGTCAGTTAATTTCTATGGAACCTATATTTCAGAAGCAGTATCCAGCAATTCTGGATACCAGAGGATGGGAACAAAGAATGGAGAGAGAACTATTACCTTAATCTCTATGCTTTTTAGAAATCAGTTGTCTTGTCATTTGTCCTACACTAGGCTGAATGTGACAATCAGTAATTAACACATTTGGTTTTATTAGCTTGGTTGTAAATCAGGTAACAGATAATGTTAGAACTGCAGGCTGTAAATTAGGCCAAGGAAGACCTGCGGAATAAGTATCTCTTACCTGAAGTGCATAGCTGTGGCTTAAGTACAGCCAAGAAGAGCAGGTCCTGGTGCAGACCAGTAGTCTGACCCATTACAGTCTACAATATCTAGTTCACAGTTGTAAGCCAAAGATCAATTTTAAAAACAAGGAGTCAGAAATGAGAAGCCACAGGAACAAGATCTAGTAATGGAGAATTGTTTCCAAAAAGAAGAGGGAACCTGGGGGATACTCTTAAATAACTGAAATTTGCAGCCTTATCTAATTAGAGGATTCAATGTCCTTCACTGTTCAGAAGATGTGTTGATCTCTGCTTCTCAGACCTCCTTAGCTTGACACTCTCCCAAGTTCAGGAACTGACTCCTTGTCTTCTGAATCAGGAGCCATCTGTGCTGAGTCTGAGTCATTCTGACTGAGTCATTATTCCCAGATGGCTGACAGCTTATTGATTCTCCAGCCACAGACTGAGACGCTGCCAAGTTCCCTTCAGTCTCAGAATCAGAGGCTTCCATGGATGGTCCATTGTTTGATTGCAATCATTCTCTTGGGATAAGGAATCTGTGGCCCAACAGATGTTGAACTATTAGTGCCCTCATTTTTATGGTCATGTTTATGAGGTCATGTTTATGATCTGAAACTATTTTTATCTAGCAAATTCCACATACGAATAACACCTGAATAATGAAATGCTGGATCTTTTTACATCAAGAATGATGCACTATCATTTAATGTGTTATATTAAGGTTATAGTGGTTGTAGCAAAAGTACAATTCATGAGCTGCATTTAAGAATCAATCCTGTGTAACCCTTCTAGTGCTGATGCTTTGTTTGTGTTTCAGAATGCCTATACATATATGATGGGAGCGTGTGTAATTGTGTTCAGGTTTTTCTCAATCTGTGGGAAGCATGTAAGTACACATGAGGATTTTCTTCCATGTTTATAGTCATTACACATTGAGTAAGTTTGTTAGTTGGACTGCTTTATTTTACTGACCTGAGGCTGCTGTAGTAGTGATATTACTTCTACTACTGTTGCTGCAGCTTATTTCAGGGCATGACTCCTGGGTCTATTACTCTATCTCTACTGTTTTAGAACCAGTAACTATCTAGAAAATCCAGTGGATCTTCTTATTGCTTGTAGTGGGAGAGTGGGGGACAAAACACTGCCTTGCAAATCTTTGTTTTTGCAAGTTCAAGGTCATTCCGGAGAGTCTTCTTTCTTTATGAGTCACACGCATTCACAGAAGCAGTTTCTCTCCCGTTTAGTAAGTTACTCTGTGCATGGGCTGATTAATTTCTATCCACTAGTTAACACAATATGTATGCACACACCTGCTTGAACTTTCTCCACAATTCCCACACAGTTAATTCTAACCTGTAGGAAATCTTGGCTACCTTTTATCTATGTATGCTAATTTTTTTAGGTTAGCTGTGACTTTCACTATAAAGCTTATTACGCTACATCTATATGGCCATATAAATGCCATGAAGAACAGTGGCTTGTCTGTATTGCCTCATTCCCCAGTACAGGTGCAAGTATCAGTAGTTCCTTATACAGTGGCTACATATGGACTCTTAGGAACTCAGAAGGAAGTTAGCATTTCCGTAGACACCAACCACAGGAGCAGACAGACTGAAAAACATTAGCACATCTCTAGATAGTTTTAAACTAGTGTTTCTCAACCTTGACAACTTTAAGATGTGTGGACCAACACCCAGATTTCTCCAGCCAGCATATCAAGGTTGAGAAACACTGGTTTAAACCAAGACTCTGTTCTAGCACAGAAGGTAAAAAATAGTCAAAGAGGAACAGCTGACATAGCTTGTTGTAGAGTCAGCAGTTTCTTCTTACTATTACTATTATTAGAACATACTGGTCAGGCGACCTAGAAATGGGGGCCAAGAAGGGGCAAAACATAGGAGCTGATTATGCCATATAATCAGAACTAGAAATATGCAAAATTGTTTAGTTAGTTTTTATGCTGCCAACTCCATACAGATTCATGGAAGCTTACAACAAAAAGCATCCACAGTACATGTATGAATGAATGTATGAATGGAGCAATACCTCAGTAAGATCTAAAACAATAAACATCAACCCAAGAATTTTGAAACATCCCAGCAATAAATTAATAAAACCATTTCCAGTGGCATCCTGATTCAAATAAATTCTAATCCACATCACTATATCCACCTCAGAGTAATTATTTTTGAGTGTTGAATTTAAAATGTTTTGATATTAAAATCAACAGTTCCATTTTCACTAGAAGTGTTCTGAATCTGTGTCAATCTTACAGGCTTGAAACAGAACCCTTTTTTGCTTGGAATACTTAACAGAAGTTCAAGCAAAGTTGGAACATTCTTGGAACAATCCCAGTGGGGTTAGAACAGTTCACTTCATTTCAGCTCATTTCAGTTTTGTCCCGCATCTCTTATACCAAGCCTTCTTTCCCACTGCTTTCCAGGTGACCCTGAAGATGCTGCTGCTGACAGTAGTTGTCAGCATGTACAAAAGCTTTTTCATCATTGTAGGGATGTTCCTACTGTTGCTTTGCTATGCTTTTGCTGGAGTAGTTTTGTTTGGGACTGTGAAATATGGAGAGAACATTAACAGGTATGGTTTCTGTCACTTCGTCTGAAAATGTTTGATACCGTGACAATGTTTTAGAGCCAGAGCAATGGACGCTTCTACTGTTACCTTTCCAGAGAGGATCTACTGCTGAGAGCCTCGGAAAATCCAGGGCCAAATATCAAAATAACGCTTATATGGCATTTTAAGTGTATGTGAATCCACTCTGCAATGACTGCTTGTGAATTAGCAGAACCTTGCAAGCCAGGGGAAAAACAGGAAGTCTCATTTGGCCTCCTATTATAAATAATAGCTAGCCCAGATTCAAGCTTAAGATCCAAGACAGCCCTACTAAGAGACATCATGAAGCACTCTTCAGGGCAGTGTTTGTTCCCCTCTGTTGGATGGCAGAAAAGTATATGTAACACTGCCAAGTCCTGAACAACCTAAACTATCCTGCTGCTCTAAATAATGTCATAAACACCACCTTATTTCCAACCAGGGAGTACGATTCATGTATCACACCTGTCTTTTTCTGCGCAGGTTGGTGAGAGTGTGCCATTTTAGCTTTCATCTCAGGCAGCAAAATACCTTGGGCTGGACCTGTTTAAGCTATCCTGGGGAGGGAAGGAGGGAAAGGAATTATCCAAATGCCCTGAAGGTTTTGTTTTGTTTTGTATATGTTTTTGCTTGTAAAATACTGAACAATAATTTTTATTTGTTAAAAACAGACATGCCAACTTTTCATCAGCTGGTAAGGCCATTACTGTACTCTTCAGAATAGTCACTGGGGAAGACTGGAACAAGATAATGCATGATTGCATGGTAAATTGACTGGTAATAAATCATATATCATTGTAGCCAACAGAAGCTTTGCATCTTAAAAGTACCATACTTCTTTATTTTAAAAATGCTGTTCTTCACCCAAAGTCTCATTTATTTACTCTTGAAAATGCTATAGGAATAAATGCATAAATACTTGGCAAAAAATATTAGCAAATATTCATGCTAAATGCTCAACTGAGTTCATGCATCTTGGTTGTATTTATTAAAATGAAAAGTGACAAGTTTCTGTCCTATGGAATGTATTAACAATTCTGTTCTGTGGAATGTATTAACAATGATAAACAATTGTTCTTTTTTTGCTGGATCTGTTGAAGTAGTCAGTGCAGGAAACTGTGAAAGAACTCTCCCCTCTCCCCAAAAAATTATCCCATTGACATGATGTGGTGATAAGCTCTAAGTTAGAAAGCATTTAAAGTAGGTTTTGTATAGAAAAGTATATATCCTACACCGAAAGTATATATCTGATTATAAAGATTAGCTGAACAGGACTTAAGATACAAATGTAAGTATAAGGTCCAAACAATTCAAGTCCTATGGCTGGTGTGGGTCTTCCAGGCTGTGTGGCCGTGTTCTGGAGGTTTTGTTTCCTAACATTTCGCCACCCACACCAGCCATTGTATTCCGGCCATGAAAGCCTTTGACAATACAATTCAAGTCCTAGTTTGCAAGTCTCTAGAAATATTTGGTCATTATTGGATACAGCATTTTGAATTAGATTATCCATCTTCATCCCTTGTCAATTCAAAATAACCTTCTCTTTGGTGGTGGGGGAAAATGATATAGTCCTTTACTGTAGTACAAAGATAGGAGGGAAAGTGAGTTGTACAAGCATTACAACATTGATCTGCTACATTTCATGATAACTGTTTCACACACAAACACAGATACACCTATTTTTGCTTCTGATGTTGAGAGAGTGCTTGGCTGGAAGAAAAACATGTGGATGGCATCAGGGAAGGGAGGAATGAAGTTGATCCATTCTCCTGTTAAACATGAAGTTCACACTCTCCTTTTGTGTGTGTGTGTGAATGGGCCATATCTACATTTGTACCCCCATTACATGTAATATAGCCTTTCCTTTCATGCAGGCATACATCTTAGAGCAGCCTTTCCCAATGAGATGACTTCCAGTTACGACATATTTTCACTCTTTTAGTCATCAGCCAGCATAAGAGTTGGAAGTTCAACCTATCTGGAAAACATTAGTCTGGGAAAAGCTTTATCCAAATGTTGTTACTGTGAGAGTTCTTAGTGTTATGTAATGTCTCTCTTGTAACACACCTTTAAGTGTCTGTATGTGCATTTGTTAGGGTAATTAAGAAGGAAGGAAGGAAGGAAGGAAGGAAGGAAGGAAGGAAGGAAGGAAGGAAGGAAGGAAGGAAGGAAGGAAGGAAGGAAGGAAGATGTTGATTATCTTTTTATGTTCTCTTTTGAAGGTTCAGCCTCCTTTTTGTACTCCAGATAACAGAACATACTGGAAAACAGATTGTGGGAATTATGCTGGTGCTCTTATGTATTTCTGTTCATTTTATGTCATCATTGCATACATAATGCTGAATTTGCTTGTGGGTAAGTTTTAGTCATGAAACACAGCAATAAAGTTTTCACTGTATGTTTTAACAATATTATGGGCTAGATCAGGACTTAGTTATACTTAAAATAGCTGTTAACATCAGTGTTTAGTCAGTCATAATTAACGGATACCACTCATTTAATTGGTTCTTCTCTATGCATGAACTAAGTTTGGATCAAACCCCTCACATGCATTGATTTTATGTATTTATAATTCACTCTTCATTCCTGACATCCCTCATCATTATTAGTGAAAAAATTGAAATAACAATTAAATAATCTGATTATAAACCATATAATAACAAAAACAATTAGTCATGGTTTAATAAATGCAATCAGTTTTGCCATCCAAAATAAAATCAGTGAACATCCCATAATGGAAAGCTTACAGGAGTTACAGAAGCCTTCAAAACATGAACAAGTTCTACATCTGAGATTCTGTATCTGATCTGATGAGACTCTTTAGGAAACACACTAGAAGATGCCACCACAGAACTACTTACCTCACCTAAGAAGCAAGTGGAGCAGAGTCTCACTTCTGGTTCTTACCATACAGTACCTACAATACTCACATGAATGCTTTGTTTAAAGCAGGGCGAACAACCTCAGTCATAGGACTTGATATGATCTTTGAGTTATTCATGCAACCATCAAACCTAATCTCAAATATTCTGTGTAGAAGTTTGGTTCAGATTACTCAAAAAAGCTATTTGTGGAATAAGTGTGGATCAGAAAGAGAGAAAGGTAAGGTTACCAGAGAGAAATTAGTGTTCTCACCAATGTTTAGCTCTAACTATATTGACTACATGATTTAGCCCTACCCATACTCCATCCTGAGAAAGATTACTTTTGAGAAAATATGACCTGGCAGGGGAAAAATAGGGTTGTCTATCTTTGCTTTAATGAATATCAGTTTTTCAAAAAATTGCAAGATGTTTTTGCTGCCTTTTGTATGTGCATGGTTTCTAATTTCCCTTGTTTATACATCTTATATATAGACTTGAAAAAAGTTAGTAAACACATTAGGTTTCCAGACTGCTTTCTTTGTAGCTTATTCAGCTTCTCATGAAGACAGCAGAGAATTTTTAAATTTTATTTTGAAACACATGAGAGTCTGATTCATGTCGGTGGATCAAATTACCTGATATGATTATATATTGCATTATATATGAGCTTTCTTAATGCTTACCATTATTATAATGATGCATTTGTACATCATGACAAAATACTTTTATTGATTTTTATGAATCTAAGTGATTTTTGTTTTAGTGAACTAAAATGTTATAAATGCTTATGAACTTGGGAAGCCCTTACCTTTTTTTTTTTTTAATGTTTCTATCTTACATAGCTATAATTGTGGAAAACTTCTCTTTATTTTATTCTACTGAGGAAGACCAGCTCTTAAGTTATAATGATCTTAGACATTTTCAAATTATATGGAACATGGTTGATGACAAAAGGGAGGTAAGAAATTTCCATAGAATTCTACAAGTTTATTGTTCTGTGAATTAATTGCTAAACAGAAAAAGTAAAAATGGAATGCCAAATCCTTTGGAGAAGTCAATGTCAGCTTCTGCTTCATCCCCATCCAGATCTATTATACATGCCAGGTTGGCCCTCTCATCCATAACTAGGTCCTGGATGAAGGAGGCTATAAGAGGCCATTGTGGCATTCAGTGGCAACAGCCAGAGACCACCACTGCTGAGGGTTCAGGCTGAGAACCAAGAGGCTGGAACATAGAATTAATATCAAGACTTCAAGACAGCCTTCCTTGAGAATGACCCACCTCTCTTACTTTATCTCCCTCTGCCCATCACCAACATGATGTTACTACCTGCCCTTCCCCCGCCACAACAATCCAATTCCCCCTGGCCCCTGCCATCCCTCCCCCAGCTCAGAGAGCCATCTGACAACCAGGTGACAATATAAATTCTTAACCAGCTGCCTAAAGTGGCTCTTTCAGGTCACTTCTGCACTAGCGTTCAACATTCCTTAGTTCCAGCCAGACAGCTGCCCCCATCCCACCCCAGCACACACACACAGACCATACCCCCAGTTCCACTCCTGCACTCACATGAACAGCACCCTAACTCCTATCTTAAAGACTGGGCCAATCTGAAAAGTCACTCCTGTCCACTTCTGCCTCTCATCCAGAGAGAAACCAGATGCCCTCTACCTTAGGCAACTCCGGTCTGCAAAAAACATTCACCTTAATTCACTCAACCACAGTTTGAAAGTCCTCTCCCTTCCAAGTTCAAATACTATGATTGCCACAGATGTAAAGCCGCCAAGATGCACTATTGATAGATGGCCCAAATGGTGTGTGCTCTTCTGTCTTTTAGTCCCACTGCCTCAAGAAGGCTATTGCCCAGAGCGTCCACTCCATGACAGCTGCAGAATTCAGATTGGCCCCTACTTCAACCCCTGACCTGCTCCTGCT